TTTTTTTTTTTTTTTTTTTTCTGCTTCATTTACCCTTGTTAAGAAACGTTTTACCTGAACAGGCAAGGTCACTTTTTTGACGTCTTTTTTTTTTTTTTTTTTTTTGTGCAACAGACCCGCTGGGCTTAGCAGGTGTACTGTCAATAGAGTTCAACGGTAGCGCTGTGGTGTTATGCGCACGGCGTCGTGGTTATTTTATTTTTTTTTTTTTGTGATGGGGGATCAGTGAACGTACACCACTACTGCTCGAGCGAAAGAAAAGCAAGCAAATAAAATAAAAGGCAGAAATAAATTGCGCAAATTGCCAAGAGCGCGACGCGGCAAAGGGTTTGTAAAAATAATTGTCTTTTCCTTCCAAACAACAGGAATACATTGTTGTTGTTGTGTCTTAGCAGTACATGGACGTGTTCCCCTACAACAGCGAGACATTAAAGCATCTCAGCGGCGATTCTCTTGCAGAATTTTTTTCAAAGCAGACGAAACGGTGATTAAACGCTTTAGCTTGTTTTTTTTACTTCCCGTCTAACTCTGCGGCATTGTTTTGTTCCCTTGTGCGTGAGAGAGCTTTTTTGTTTCCATTCCCAATCGGGTTTGTGTTCCACTAGACTGATTTGTGTTCCCCTTCACTTGTTGACACATATATGTACCTCCCTTCGCGTCTATCCGCCGACACTTTGCCGACGAGAGCGATTTTGGGTTTTGTTCATTTAAAGGAAGATTCCTTTTCGAGAAGTGTCCTCACACATAAGAGTATTTTTCACCTTGCCTGGTCATAACTTTTTCCCATTTTTGCTGTTTTTTGGCTGTTTTTTTTTTTTTTTTTTTTTTTTTGTTTCAAAAATGGCTACCTTACCGCCGAGCAAGTCAACCAGCAAGGTTGCCGCGACCACCGAAATGGAGGAGGAAGTCACAAAAAAACATCAGTTTCAGGAAATCGTAAGGGAGAAAATTTCGCTTTTGTGTAGTCTACCAATGTAGCGTGAAGCATTTTGTCCAGCTTCGTCTTGCCCAATTTTTTCCCTTGCCCATTTGTAGGAAAAGCTTCAAGACCTGGGCATCAACGCGGCGGACATAAATAAATTAAAGAGCAGCGGCTACTGCACGATACTCTCCCTGATCCAGACAACGAAAAAAGAGCTGTGTAATGTGAAAGGGATTTCGGAAGCAAAGGTAGAGAAAATTCTGGAGGTGGCGTCAAAGATAGAAAATTGTTCTAGCTTCATAACAGCTCATCAGTTGGTCCATAAGAGAAATAAAATTTTGAAAATCACAACGGGGAGCTCCAATCTGGACCAGACTTTGGGAGGAGGCATAGAAAGCATGTCCATCACAGAACTGTTTGGTGAAAACCGCTGTGGGAAAACGCAGATATGCCACACGCTGGCGGTGTCGGCTCAGTTGCCCAGGAGCGTTGGTGGGGGCAACGGCAAGGTAGGTCACTGGGTACGCGCTCACCCTTCCGTTCTACGCTCACCCTGCCGTTGTACGTTCATCCTGCCGTTCTACGCTAATACACCCGTTGTATGTTGGCCCCCCCCCGCCCCCCCCCACAGGTATGTTACATCGATACGGAAGGCACCTTCAGGCCAGAAAAAATTTGCAAAATAGCCGAACGGTACGGAATTAATGGAGAAGACGTGTTGGACAATATTTTATATGCCAGGGCATTTACACACGAGCATTTATATCAGCTGCTTGCGGTGTCTGCGGCAAAGGTATGTCTCTTGAGTAGCCTCTACTTTTTTTTTCCTGCGCGTGAGTGGTTGGGCAGTTACAGGGTGCCGAATGGGGCAACGCAAACTGGGGAGAGGTGTACTTGGGGCCACTTTGGTACATGCCCCCCCCCTGCCATATCACTAGCTTTATTTATTTTATTTATTTTTTTTTTTTCCGCTGTGACGCTCAAGATGTGTGAGGAGCCCTTCGCACTACTCGTGGTGGACTCCATCATTTCTCTTTTCCGAGTGGACTTCAGTGGACGAGGTAGCTTCACGTCTAAGCAGCCGGGCAGTACATGCAAATGCACATCTGCACGACAACGCGTCCATGTGCACGTTTCCACGGCAGCACGTCCATATGAACGAATATATCTCCCCTTCCCCGCAACCGCCAGGCGAACTCTCGGAGCGCCAACAGAAGCTCAACAAAACCCTGTCCACACTAAGCAAACTGGGAGAGCAATTTAACATTGCCGTTTTAATAACGAACCAAGTGATGTCCGATCCAGGGGCTACCATGACTTTCGTGGCGAACCCGATGAAGCCAGGTTGGCGTGACGTTTCACACTACGGTTGCATGTCGCGATTGCATGTGGTGATTGCATGTGGTGATTGCATGTGGTGATTGCATGTGGCGATTGCATGTGATGTGGGCACGAATGATGCGCGCATATCGTGACCCCCATCCCTTTCGCTTCACCACCCTGTGTCCCCCCCCCGTGGGCCAGTCGGCGGTCACGTCATTGGCCACGCGTCCACAACCAGGCTGTCGCTCAGAAAGGGCAAAGGAGATCAGCGGGTGTGCAAAGTGTACGACGCCCCCAACCTTCCCGAAGTGGATTGCATCTTCCAGCTGTAAGGGGGGAAAAACCAAACGCAAAAAAAAAAAACAAAGCGGTGCAGGACGCGCAGATGGTGATTAACGCCACACGGGGCCAACTTAGATGAGCACTTTCGCAACTTCCTGTCGGCTTTATTTTATGGCTTTTTTTTTTTTTTTTTAATTTTTTTTTTTTTTGGGGGGTGTTCAGGTCGGACGGCGGTGTGATTGACGCAACTGACTGAGCGAACAAGTGTGTGTTCTCGGGCAGTTGGAGAAAAAAAAAATGGAAAAACAAAAAAAGGCTTCACGAAGAAAAGAAGAAAAGGTGAAAAGCTACACGAACGCAGGACAGACAGGCGGAGATCTACCCACCCCACAAGTGAGCCTCCATCAAAGGGTCCCCAAATTTAGGAAGTCTCTATCAATTTCTCTGGAAAAAAAAAAAAAAAAAAAAAAAAAATGTGTAACGTGTAACGTGCACACGACATGGGGAGAGCAGGCCCCTCGTAATATGGTTGCAGGGGTGAAGCACCCACAAATGGGGACTACTTTTTTTTTTTTTTTTT